CGAGGGGAGGTAGAGACCAGTCAGGGTGCCAGAGGGGGCCGCCGGACACGGGAGGACAGTGGAGAAGCGAGACAGGACAGGCCCCCCAGAGGGGTCCGCCAGGGACACCGCAACAGGCCGACTCAGCGGCGTGAGAGTGGTGCGGTCCCTAAAGAAGGAGCGAGACGCTCCAGAGTCAAGGGTGAAGGTGTGAGAGGCCGAAGCCGACACAGTACCTGAGAGGGCGGACTCACCAGTACCTGAAAGCACAGACGCACTGGCACCTAGAGCAGCAGCCTCACTAGTACCTGACGCGGCAGTACCAATGCCCGGGTCGGGCGGGAAACACCGGTAACAGTCATCCTCATCACTACCAGTCACAGCATACATAGCAGAGAGAATAGCATCAAAATCAAGATCATAAATAGCTACACCAGCCCTAGACAGCTCTCCCCAGCGGGGGATCTCAGCGGCCTCCGGAAACTGCTGACGCCAGGCGTCGGTCAGGCGGCCAAAGCAGCGACGGGCTGTGTGGGCGCCTCCACACCTCTCCCCTGCACGGTCACCAGTGCGAAGAACGTAGGGGCAGGGACCAAGCGCACCACCGCGCTGACGCTGCAAGTACCACTCACGGAGCTTCTGAGGGCCGGGGACGGTGCGAGAGCGCTGCTGCTGCTGCGGCTGCTGCTGTGGCTGCTGCTGCTGCTGCTGCTGGCGCTGACCACCCCCAGAGCTGCTCCGCTGGGACGAGCCACTCCGACCCCCTCCTCCACCGCCACCCCCGCCTCCACCGCTACCCCCGTCGCCACCGCCACCTCCCCCACCAGGACCGTCGCTCCCACCGCTCCCACCGCCTCCTCCGCTACCACCTCCGCCGCCACCTCCGCCTCCACCGCCGCCACTACTACCTCCACTCCCGCCACCACCCCCTCCGCCACCCCCACTCCCCCCTCCACCCCCACCGCCTCCTCCACCGCCCCCTCTGGCTCCACCCGCTCCCTTGCCCCCCTTGCCCTTGCCAGTGCGGCGTCTGCCACTGGGGGCAGACGCCGCGCCGACCGACTCAAAACCAACGAGGTCGGCCGCAGCGGCAGAGGCGACAGAGGGCAGCAGGGGGGAGGGACCACACCCCTCAAAGATGGGGGTGCGAGGGTCACCCCGAGAGGCCCCTACAGCGACAATACTCTTCTCAGCCGCTAGCAGGGACTCCTCAAGGAGGTCGACAGTGAGAGTGGTGGGACAGACAGAGAGAAACTGGTCCCTAACGACACGAAGGGACTCAGGAAGACGGGTGACGAGAAAGTAGAGAGTGATGTACATGGGAGGAGGGTTCGCAGCGCGGAACTCAGCAGGAAGGGCAGCGCGGTAGCGGGTGTCACTAGCGCGGAGGTGGGTAACGAGGTCAGCGACAGTGGGAAAGGAAGCGAGGTCAGGGAAGAGAAACGGTAGCATGAGGCGGCTAAGGGTAGCGGAGGAAGGGGAGGAGTAGCGCGCAACTACAGCGTCGTACAAGGCCTGAGCGGTCTTGCACTGACTAAAGTGGGCACGCTCAGAGGAAGGGAGGTGGCGACGCACAGCAAGACGTGCAGCAGCATCGCGGGTCGCCCACTTGGAGCGAACGGCAGAGTCAGCATCAGCAGGCGGGGCAGGGACAGCGCCAGAGACAAAGTCAAAGAGAGAGACCTCATCTACCGCATCACACAGTAAGTACAGCTGCAGATCCTCGACCCAGACGGCAAAGTCAATGGCCCTCCCCTCAGCGTCAAAAGTGAGAACATTGGGGGTAGCCATAGCAGCAGCTGAAAGTCTCACCGGGATGGGAGAGTCGGGTAGGTCAGCAGCAGGCGGCTCGGGCTGCTCAGGTACCGGGCGGCTCGGCTACTGCGGGGCGGCTCGGCTACTGCGGGGCGGCTCGGCTGCTGCTGGGCGGCTCGGCTGCTGCTGGGCAGCTCGGCTGCTGCTGGGCGGCTCGGCTGCTGCTGGGCGGCTCGGCTGCTGCTGGGCGGCTCGGCTGCTGCTGGGCGGCTCGGATGCTGCTGGGCGGCTCGGCTGCTGCTGGGCGGCTCGGCTGCAGTGCAGTGGCGGGGCCGGGACAAGGCCGGCGGTAGGGCCGGCGGTAGGGCCAAGTAGGAGCCGGCGGCGGGCCGAGTAGGAGGCCGGCGGCGGGGCCGAGTAGGAGCCGGCGGCGGGGCCGTGTAGGAGGCCGGCGGCGGGCCGAGTAGGAGGCCGGCGGCGGGCCGAGTAGGAGCCGGGGCCGGGCCGTGTAGGAGGCCGGCGGCGGGCCGTGTAGGAGGCCGGCGGCGGAGCCGAGTAGGAGCCGGCGGCGGGGCCGTGTAGGAGGCCGGCGGCGGGCCGAGTAGGAGGCCGGCGGCGGGCCGTGTAGGAGGCCGGCGGCGGAGCCGAGTAGGAGCCGGCGGCGGGGCCGTGTAGGAGGCCGGCGGCGGGCCGAGTAGGAGGCCGGCGGCGGGCCGTGTAGGAGGCCGGCGGCGGAGCCGAGTAGGAGCCGGCGGCGGGGCCGTGTAGGAGGCCGGCGGCGGGCCGAGTAGGAGGCCGGCGGCGGGCCGTGTAGGAGGCCGGCGGCGGGGCCGAGAAGGAGGCCGGCGCGGGGCCGCGTAAGGGGCCGAGTAGGAGCCGGCGGCCCGGGGCCGCGTAAGGGGCTGGCTCGGAGCCGCGTAAGGGGCCGGTGCGGGGCCGCGTAGGAGCCGGCGGCGCAGGGCCGCGTAAGGGGCCAGCGCGGGGCCGCGTAAGGGGCAGGCGGCGGGGCCGCAGGGGAGAGGGCGACCCGAAGGGTCGCTAAAACAAAAAAGGGCGCGCCTCGGGGCGCGCTTCGGTGGGCCCAAAAAAAAAATTCGGTCCTGGAGGGACCTAGCTCTATACCATGTGAAACTATGAGCAGAGGAATGAATTGACTAAGTCAGAGTTGGGTACAAATACAACCCTAGCAAACTGTACCCCATATGTGCTACCCCACTATAGCCTACAAACATGCATCAGCTATAATAATCTGACACTAAATGCCTCGTTCATGGTCATCTGAAAAGTCGCAGGCGCGTTCGTCAACCCGAAGGGCATTACTGTATACTCGAATGACCCGTACCTAGTCCTAAATGCTGTTTTTGCGCAGTCCGATGGTTCGACGCGAATCTGATGGTAACCTCCCCGTAAATCTATTTTCGAAAAGACACGTGCTGTTCGCACTTGGTCAATCAGTTCGTCGGCGCGGGGGATGGGGTATCGCGATTTGACTGTTACTCGGTTAAGCGCTCGGTAGTCGATGCACATGCGAAAACCTCCGTCTTTTTTCGGTGTGAACAGTATGGGTGCGGCGAACGGTGACGAGCTCGGTCGAATGAACTGCTTCTCTAACAGGTAATCTAACTGCTTCCTTAACTCGTCGAGCTCGGGCTGTGTCAGTCGAAATTGCCGCTGTACTGTTGGCTGTGCCCCCGGTTCTAGCTCGATCCTATGGTCGTGCGCTCGCTGAGGTGGCAGTCCCTGTGGTAAATCATCCGGAAATATCCCCGGGAACCGTTTCAGTAGTGCCTGTAATTCGGTCGGTACGGCTGCTAGCAGTTTCTGTAAATCATTCTGCTGCTCGTCTTTTTCTACCACTGCGACATCCACTGCGTACACGTCAGCTCCAGCAGCGACAGCCCGTTTCATCGCGATGGCGTTGACCTGGACTGTCGAAGATTCGGGTGGCCGCCAGCGAGGTAGGACGACCCAGTTACCGCTACTTCGCACTGTGCAGCTCCCCGTCGTCCAGTCGATCCGTGGGTTATACCGTCGCAGCCAATCACGTCCCAGTAAAATGTCGTGCCTATCCAGCGTCGTTGCGAGCATTTCCTGTGTAAACCCGAAGTTTCCCCCGCAGCGGACTTTTACTCGCTCCACTTTTTCTCGTATGGCCAATGGCGTGCCGTCGACTAAGCGTGCATCTATCTCAGGTAAACATCGGTTAAGTGTTAACTGTAATTTCCGTGCGGTTGCAGTATTAACTAAGCTGTGACTTGCTCCTCCGTCAATGAAGATTTTCACTGCTGCTCCCTGTATTTTCCCGTAGATCAGTACCGGGCAATCCGTCGCTGTACCCTCCTTATTCATCCGAGCCCGATCGATGGCGTGAATCGGTACTGTGACTCGGTGAGGGTCGGTGTGGTTGGGCGAGCAGGCAGTCTCGTCAGTAGTTGGCCCAACTTCTACTGACTGCTGGCGTTTCCCTGCCTCTGAGACTCCTTCCCCTGCTCTGCTCCTCGACGCCTCAGCTCCTCTGGACATTCGTGTGAAAATATTAGGTGTGGGGCCTAGGCTTAGTAGCCTAGGCCCACACTAGGAGATAGGTAAGTTCGAGTGGGTTAGGTGAGAGTCGAGAAATTGGAAGGGAAGTGAAGTGACTAGCAAGAGTTGGGATACAAGTACATTGCCCTAAATTGGGTTGTACTCATTACAGAGTACCCCACTGCAGGCTAGACAGCAAATATATTCTGACACACCCCCATAACCAAAGTGGGGTGAAATCAGCAGAGCAGGCAAAGCAGTACAAGCTCAGGGTGGATCACAATGTCACCACACATTCTGAGCACAAGTTCAAGAAGCAATAGTTAAAGTGCACAATTATCAGCAAAGCTAGTGGTGGTCACAACGGGCAGGTGAGGAGGAGGAGGGAGAGTGAGAGGAGAGGAGATGGGAGGCGACTGCTGAAGCTGCAGACACACGGGCAACAGGAGCGGCTGGCACAGTGGCTACCGGGACAGCGCCCCGGACTACTGGAGTAACTGGCTCGGCGGCTACGAAGAGCGGCAGGAGCAACGGACCCACGGGCGACAGGCGCAGCAGGCTCACTGGGCTACCAGGACAGCGCCCCGGACTACAGGTGCTGCGGACTACAAGACGGCAGCCTCCGCTCAACCTCCCACAAACAGTCCCACCCCCCTGACACACACCCGCTGCTACACCCCTAGCTCCACTCCCACGCACCCCCCTTAAACCCTAAACCCCAGTCTCCCACACAACCACCCCCCTCAGCGACAGCTGCAGCAGTGGGAGACGACGGAGGAGGAGAAGGAAGGGGCGACACAAACGGAGCACCCCCACACCCGCAAACGGGGGGGGGGGGACAGTGCGCACGAGGGCGCAGACAGTAGCAGAGCGCACGGGGGCGCGAGCACGAGACACGGGCAGCAACAGGCACGGGCAGCACAGGCACGGGCAGCACAGGCACGGGCAGCACAGGCACGGGCAGCAACAGGCACAGGCAGCACAGGCACGGGCAGCACAGGCACGGGCAGCACAGGCACCGGCAGCACAGGCACGGGCAGCAACAGGCACGGGCAGCACGGGCACGGGCAGCACAGGCACGGGCAGCAACAGGCACGGGCAGCACAGGCACGGGCAGCAACAGGCACGGGCAGCACAGGCACGGGCAGCACAGGCACGGGCAGCAACAGGCACGGGCAGCACAGGCACGGGCAGCACAGGCACGGGCAGCAACAGGCACAGGCAGCACAGGCACGGGCAGCACAGGCACGGGCAGCACAGGCACGGGCAGCACAGGCACGGGCAGCAACAGGCACGGGCAGCACAGGCACGGGCAGCACAGGCACGGGCAGCACAGGCACGGGCAGCAACAGGCACGGGCAGCACAGGCACGGGCAGCACAGGCACGGGCAGCACAGGCACGGGCAGCAACAGGCACAGGCAGCACAGGCACGGGCAGCACAGGCACGGGCAGCACAGGCACGGGCAGCACAGGCACGGGCAGCAACAGGCACGGGCAGCACAGGCACGGGCAGCACAGGCACGGGCAGCACAGGCATGGGCAGCACAGGCACGGGCAGCACAGGCACGGGCAGCAACAGGCACGGGCAGCAACAGGCACAGGCAGCACAGGCACGGGCAGCACAGGCACGGGCAGCACAGGCACGGGCAGCACAGGCACGGGCAGCACAAGGCGTACCGGGTCCAGGGGCGGCTTCTGGGGTCCAGGGGCGGCACCTGCAGCTGGGCGGCGGTAGCTGCTGCGGCAGAGCGGCGGCGGCTGCTGCTGCTGATAGAGCGGCGGCTGCTGCTGCTGGGTCGGTGGCGGCAGCTGCTGCAGGTCTGGCGGCGGCTGCTGCTGCAGACTCTGGCGGCGGCTGCTGCTGTAGACTCTGGCGGCGGCTGCTGCTGCAGGCTCTGGCGGCGGCTGCTGCTGCAGGCCCTGGCGGCGGCTGCTGCTGAAGACCCTGGCGGCGGCTGCTGCTGAAGACCCTGGCGGCGGCTGCTGCAGCAGGCTCTGGCGGCGGCTGCTGCTGCAGTCCCTGGCGGCGGCTGCTGCTGTAGGCCTGGCGGCGGCTGCTGCTGCAGGGCGGCGGCGGCTGCTGCTGCAGGAACTGACGGCGCCCCGCGGGTCCCGCATGGGGCGTCGCGACGAGCAGGGGCGACGCCCCGCGGGTCCCGCACGGACGTCGCGACGAGCAGGGTGACGCCGCGCGGGTCCCGCACGGGCGTCGCGACGAGCAGCGGGGAGGGCAGCGCGCAGGCCCCCCGAGGGCGCTTCGAAGGACGGGAAAACCGCCGCGCGCCCCGAGCGCACGGCAGGAAGAAGGACTGCAGCGGAAGCATAGGGGCCCTCTGGTCAAGGTAGAACGGGCTCTGATAACATGTGAAAATATTAGGTGTGGGGCCTAGGCTTAGTAGCCTAGGCCCACACTAGGAGATAGGTAAGTTCGAGTGGGTTAGGTGAGAGTCGAGAAATTGGAAGGGAAGTGAAGTGACTAGCAAGAGTTGGGATACAAGTACATTGCCCTAAATTGGGTTGTACTCATTACAGAGTACCCCACTGCAGGCTAGACAGCAAATATATTCTGACAATTCGCTCTTGCGATGGCCCGGCCGGTTGCAAGCAAAGCAGCGCCCTCTAAATGGCGTGGCAGCTGCATTCGTTGCGACGGCATGTACAGTGGCGTGCTCGATCGGTCCCCGAGGGCGATGTCCGAAATAGGACCCCGGTCTCGGTCGGCGTAGGATATCGATTTTCTCGGCGAGCGCGAGGATTTCGTTGAAATTCGATAGCCCGCGTAGCATTATCTCGTGCGATATGTCCGGCTTCAGCCCTCCGACGTAACGGTCCACCCGCTCCGCCTCGTGCATGTAGCCGACCTGTTCGCAAAGTGCGAGAAAACCGCTGGTGTAGTCTTGAACCGACCCGAGCTGGCGCCAAGTGCGCAGTTTCTGACGCGCCGAAATCGAAGCCGCGATCGGCTCAAAACGCGCCCGAAGCCCTGCGCACCACGCATCCCACGTGCTGTATTGGGCTGTTTCGCAGAACGAACTCCAGGTGACAGCTGGACCCGAGGGCCCTTCCTCGTGCGACGGTGGCTCGTAGGCGCGTGGCGACGTCACGATGACTCGCCACCAGTCCATGGCGGGGCCCCTGAGTAGTGAAACCGCATACCGAATCTTGGCGGCGTCCGACTCGACGTAGTTGGCGTCGAAAAACACATTCATCGTGAAGACCCAAGATTGAACTGTCGGGCCGCCGCGTTGGCTTGGGTCGAAGCAGGGCGGGCGTTGCGGCTTGAGTGGCATTGGGGCCATCATGGCGTTTTCACCACTTGTCGTCGCAAACTCCACGTGCCGACGGGCTTCTCGGGGCTCCCGTGGGCTTAGCGTGCTCCTGTTCCCTCCCATGCCGGGCATCGGTTGGGCTGCGCCGTCACTGGCTGCGCCTGAGCGCTGTCCCGTGCTGTTGTGTTGCGTTGGTGTGCCGGATGAAATGATAATCGGCTCCTCCGAATGTACAGAGACATTGGTTGGTGCGTGGGATGTTGTCGGAGCATTCACCGTTGACTGTTGACGGGCGGAGTCACGTTCCGCCGTGAGCGTCGCGATTTCAAGCGCCGAATCCTCCAATTGCCGCACGAGACGATCGAGTTGCTCCTGCGTCAACGTGGCGAGATTGAGGTCGGCCATGGCGGGGGTGTCGGGCAAGCTCAGCGAGAGCCTCGGTCGTGGCCGTGCGTGCTTGCGAGAGAGCACTACGAGCGGCGGTGCTGTGTCGCTGAGAGACGTCTACCCCCCCCAAAAATTGAGATAGTGGGAAGCGAAGGTGTGGATGCGGTCCGAGATGAGATCGTAGGCTCTGAATACCAAGTGTTACGAGTGCAATTGAGTGAACGAACGAGAATTGCACTATCGAAGCAAAAGTACAATGAGCGAAGGCATGAGCGAAGGATTATATAGCGAAACAATAGTGGTAACGGTAATGGACTGTGGTTGTCGCGCGTCGAGCCTGGGACTGAGGTTGGGAAAGTTCAAAGCGTAGGCCCGGAGCGCGGGTTACCAGCCGAGCCGTGAGGTCGGGATGCGATGTGCGAAAAGGCGGGATGATGAATGATGCGATGGTCGCGAGTGGTAACGGTGCTGACTGAGGTGCTACAGTGACGTACGCGCTGGGCAGGGACGCGAAGTAAGGAAAAGGGAATTTCCTTACACCATCCAACCAAACAAAAATCAGGCATGGCTGACGCACAAGCAGCATAAACTTCGGAAAGTTAGAACCTCGTAAAATAATTACGTTTCTAGATTCTTTTGTTGTCAGGGCTCAGGAAGACGGGAGCGCCTTGCTCCTCTCCCGTGGTTTCGGACTTCGTCAGTTTCTGGTCCTCGTGTTGCTACGAAGTCGTCAAGGCTGTGTGCCATTTTTTTGAGTTTTTGGAATTCTTGAATTTCACGTTTCCTCAAACGTCCTCGTATATTTCCGGTGGGTTCTTGCTTGCGTTGAGATCCCAAATTACTGTACGATCTTCTAGCAATTTTGGGGTTGTTGATCCGCACCTTCGAAGCCATAAGATTTAGGTCAAGGTTAGAGTTCAAGGTTAGTGTAAAAGGTTAGAGTCAAGGTTCGCATTCAGGTTAGGTTCCAGGTTGAGTTCGTTGCAGAAATGGCGGAGGAGGACGAGTTCGGATTGGACGATCAGGAGATGGTGGATTTTGACGCTTCGGACTACGAGCTTGATTCTGAGGAATCGGAGGGGCAGGAAAAAGCGGAGGAGGAGGGGGAGAGAGAGGGAAGAACCGCAGTATTTGCAGCTACATCGAAACCGGCTGGCGGCGATGTTAATCCGGTCACGACTGTGAGGGGAAAGACGACGACTGATTCGGAAATTCTCAAGGATTCGACGGTTTCGAGAACTAATATTGCGGTTTCGTCAGAGCAGCGGGACGCGGATGCGTCAGGAAGGCCGGATTTGACGAATACGCAAACGGAAACGGAAAGTTCGGCGCAACAGATTCGTGGTCCGGAGCCGTTGCAGCCACGCGAAAAGCCGGGGGTTCGTTCTGGTGAATTCTCCGAATTGAGGAAAGGTTCAGGCAGACACCCGACGGCTGCGGAAGCCAGGAAAACTGCTGCTGCTGCTGCTGCTGCTGCTGCTGCTGCTGCTGCTGCTGCTGCTTCTGTTTCTGCCGTTGGAGACGGCAAGGTTCAGGAGCGGTCAGGGGACTGGGAGGACGGTGAACTTCACGATCCCGCTAATTCCGCCGTCGATCTCGGCGCTGATCGCGGCGCTGCTGCAGACATGGTGATTAACCTGGAAGCCCATCCGCCTCACTCACTTAGGTCGCATCATCCTCCAGCCTTTCTCCATCGATACCATTCACGCCGACCCTTATCTTACTGTCGATCGCACAGATATCCTATTTTTTAGTCGAAATAGACTCGCATCTTCCTCCAGCCTTTCTCCATCGATACCATTCACACCGACCCTTACCGAACTGTCGATCGCACAGATACCGCTCGGCCGTTCCCGCGTAGGGCATCGTTCTAGGGGGGTAAACCTAATATTGCATCGCGTTACACAGTTTTGGGAGTTTTCCTCCAGAAAAAGTGCCGCGTTGGTCTCAGAACAAGCCAGCGCGATGTCTCTTTCCAGCGCATTTTCACTCTTTCCGCCCAGCATGCCGTTTATCCTGACTCGCTATAACGTTCGTTTCGACACAGTCTAGTGTTATCCCGTGTTAAAGCGAGAAATGGAGCGTAACACCCCAAGTGACGGGATTGCTTGGCAAGGCTTCAACGGATTACTCACAGAAGAAAACGGATTCGATTAGGCGCCTTATTAACGGACGCGACGGCTTGACAGAGTGCTTGACGGGAAACCGAGCTCGACAGAAGAAGCGAAGCCATGCCGATTATATATTTCCATGCCTTTTCTTTTCCCAAAGAAGTGTCCGATTCGCACTAGCTTCGAGCGTGTGAGCGAAACGATAGTTATAGGGCGTGAGGATGATGGGGGGAAGGGGGGAGTCAAAGGGAGAGAGGGAGATAGTGCAACGTTACTGGTAAAGTGGAGGGAGATGGGGATATGGGAGCGTGGGGAGGAGGAGGGGGGGGGGGAGTGTGATGGGAAACTTGTGGAGGAACTGGAAGGTGATTGTTGGTGATGCGGGAAAGAGGAAGAAGAGGAAGAATAGGGAGAAGGGACAGGTTATTGTGGGTTGGGCGAGTTGGGGGTCAGGCATATGAGTCGGTGGCTACGCGTTTGGTCGGGTGATGAGACATGGGAAGTCGGATCGTGGTGGAGTGCGGGGAGGGGTGTGTGGCTTGGATGGTTTGGAATTCAGATGTTGGATGGGGGACGCAGCGGTGTTGATGCAACGTTATTGGGTGCGTGTGTGTGTGTGTGAAGGTGGGATGGAGGGAAGAAGTAAGGGCAGCAGGCAGAGGGAGACACGGCATGTGGCTTGGAGGGGTGGAGTGTAACGGAATAGGGAGAGCGCGAGGTTGTGCGCGTGAGTGCGTGTGAGGGAGCAAGGAGGGAAGAAGAGAGTGAGAGAGAGCGGGTGGGGCATATAGAGAAGAGAGAGTGGGTGTGTGTGAGAGAGGCGAGTGCACAGGAAGGGTAGCGTGGCAAGGAGGAGGGAGATGGGTAGGCAGACTTTCTGGATCTTGCATGGCATCTGCTGCAGCTGGTAGCTCGTCCTTGGGTTTTCCAGGACCTTTCCAGGATCTTTCCAGGACCTTTCCAGGACCTTTCCAGGATTTTCCTGGATCTTGCCCAGGCTGGGTTCCACACTCTACCATTCCACAGTCTACCATGCTACTCTCTTCCATTTCACATTTTCCTGATTCCTCACTCTACCATCCCAGTCACCATTATTCATTCTACCATGCCACATTCCGCCGTTCATGCCACTTTGCACTGTTCCACACTCGCACCATTTCATCTCACCCCATCTAGTACTATCGCGTCCTTCCCAAACGGCACTCATTCTGCGTCCAAAATTCCCTTATTCTGTTAGTGCCTGTCTCCTCTCGCATGTATACCCCCCTGGCTCTCACGAGTATTTTCAGCACTCCTTGTTCTGTGCCCCATTGTAGTAGCGCGCCGAGCATTACATCTTGTTCTGTTCAAAACCCTTCCCTGCCTTTTTCGTCGCTTTTAAGTAGGCTGGGAGGTCGGCTGGTGAGTTTCTTTTGCTCAGTGTTATCTCCTTGCGAGGGCTGGGGGTGGCTTGGATGGCAGCTGGATAGGACCAGCGTTAAAGGGGCAACGGCTGACACACACGAAGAGGATCAGGAGCAGGGAGATTTGGTGCTGGAAGCAGAAGAGGAGGAGGAGGAGGGGGAGGAGGAGGAGGATGAGGGGAGAGAGCATTGGAGGTCCAGTAACAGGCGTCGGGAGAGTCGGCAAGAGAGGTTTATTGATGGGCCCGAAAGGGAGAGAGAAAGGGAGAGGGAGAGGGAGATGGAGGGCAGGGGGGGGAGAGAAAGGGGAAGGGAGTGGGAGTTGGAGAGGGAGAGGGAAGGGGAGAAGGAGAGGGAGAGGGTGAAGGAGAAGGAGACGGAGAGGGAGAGGGAGAAAGAGAGGGAAAAGGGGAAGCGGAGGGACATGGAGGATGGGGAGATGGAGGAGCAAGGGAGGTCAGAAGAGAGAGAGCAGCAGCAGCAGCAGCAGCAGCAGCAGCAGCAGCAGCAGCAGAGGGTAGGGGAGAAGGGGAGAGATGGGAGGGGAGCGGAAACTGGTGGGGAGAAACGGAGGAGGCTGGAGGCTGAACGGTGAGTGCTGCTGCTTGCGTGCTACTGCCCCTGTGCCACCACCCACTGAAGGGAGATTGCAGCCTGTGCGCTCTGTTTGTCTCCATCCCATGCAACCCCCACATCAGCCCCACGGTCTGTGATCCGAGGTGACTTTTGAGTCGACTCAAAAGATGACTTTTGACTTTTGAGGCGCGTCAAATGTCAACCCCTACACCAGCCCCACGATCTCTGATCCGCCTGAGGACTTGTTTTTCTTGTCCCCTTTGCCTCTTGCAGGTCTCTCCCCCTTCTGCGTGGGCATTCGGGGTCCCCCAATCCCTTGCTCCCCACAGGCCCACCTCCCTGGCCCCTCCACTCAACCCGCCTATCCGCTCCTTCCCTTCAGCAGCAGCGCTTACAGCAGCAGCAGCATCAGCAGCTTCAGCAGCAGCAGCAGCAGCAGTTTCATCTCCTCCCTCCCCGCGTTTCTTCCTCTGCCCCTATTGGCGCCTCAGCAGCAGCAGCAGCAGCGGCACTCCGTCTTACCACTCACCACCCCTTGGATCACCGCTCCCTGCCTCTCCAACCCAATGGTTTGCCATACATCAACGCCCCAACGCCTTTCTCCCAGAACCCTATGCGTTCCGTACAGCAGCAAGCGGATGTTTTGCGTGGTGGCGGTGCTGGTGGCGGTGCTGGTAATGGTGCTGGTGGTGGGGGTGGTGGGGGTGGTGGGGGTGGTGGGGGTGTTGTGATGCCATTTGATGAGCTTAATAAGGTGCATGGGGGGTTGCAGGGACCGCATGGGGGGGCCATGCACTCCGGGGTGCTTTTTATCATGCATCCCAGTAGCATGCATGCTGCTGCTGGTGCTGCCATGCGTCCCACAGGTGGTATGGTGAACCTGGCTGGGCCTATACCTCACGTTGGTGCCAATGATCCTGCCAGTGCCTTGCGCCCCCCCATTCATGGGATTCACTCCTCTTCACACGCGCACGGGCACGCACATGTGCACACTCACGGGCATGTGCATGCACAAGCGCAAGCGGTGGCAGCGGTGGCGGCAGCGGCTGCAGCGGCAGCAACAACAGGACAGGGGTTTCCTCCTCCCAGAACAAGCATGGCACAGCAACAGCAGCAGCAGCAGCAGCAGCAGCAGCAGCAGCAACAGAAGCAGCAGCAGCAGCAGCAGCAACAGAAACAGCAGCAGCAGCAACAGCAGCAGCAACAGCAACAGCAGCAGCAGCAGCAGCAGCAGCAGCGGCAGCACGTACCTGCTCCTGACGTTGTCTTTCTGATGCGAGGTTCTGGCCCTTTGATTCTAAATCAGGTGTGTAGTCCTGACTCATATTAGAAGGGCAGCAGCAATGTATGCAGCCCCTCCTGACGTTGTTCTTCTTGTGCGGGGTTCTGACCGGTTGGGTTTAAATCAGGTGTGTACGCGTCACGTTTTGAGTTGATTCAAGTCACACTCTTGTTCAGAAGTGTACGCGTCACGTTTGCCCGTGCTGGTTCCTGAGTGTACTTAGAATCATCTTTGGCTCTGTCTCTCTTGATCAGGCTTGTATGTATGTGCACCGCACTTCTACCTCCTTGCTACTTCCTGTCTTCCCACTCTCACCTCCTCTCACCTCCTCGCACCTCCTTGCACCTTTTTCCCCCCTCTTCCCCCCCTCTCTCTTCCGCCATTTCCCCCACCGTTCCTCCCAGCAGCGTCCCCCACTGCACGCCCTAGAACCACCCGACCGCCTTCCGCCCCATGCCTTTCCAGGCCCTCCCCCCGTCCCCATGCACCCGCCGCTTCTCCCCCTCCACCTCTCCCCCTCCCCGGCCCACCCCTCTCGTGCTGCTGCCTCTGCTGCTGCTGCAGCAGCTGCGTTAAGAGGGGGGGGAACAGTGGGGGCGGATCGAGGGGGAGGAGGGCGAGGAGGAGGACGAGGAGGGGAAGGAGGAGAAAGAGCGCTGTTAGGTGAGCAAATGATTCGTGTGAGTCTGGTGGGAGTTTGTGGTGTGACAAGGAAGGTACCCCTCAGTCCTCTCTCTCCTTTCATGTTCCCCTGTTTCACCTTTTCTCCTCTCAGGTTTCCCCCTCATTTTTCCTTCACCCTTCTCTCGTTTCCCCCTTTGCACCCTCTGGGTACCTTCCTTGCCTCTACCCTTATTTCAGGAGGAGGTTTCGCAGCCGTTTCTATAAGTTTAGGTTCTACAGCATCTGGTTACCACTTGCAGCAGCAGGTGCAGCAGCAAGAGCGGCAGAGGCAGGTGCATGAGCAGCAGCAGCAGCAGCAGCAGCTAAAACAGCAGGAGCAGGAGCAATTGCAGCGGAATCTGCAACAGCAACACAGGGCAATTCAGCAGCAGCAGCAGCAACAAGTGCATGGTCCCTTGGATGCACAGCGGCAGTTCATGCAGCAGCAGCAGATGCAGAAGGATCAAGTAGCCCAGTTCATGCACATGCAGCATCAAAGGGAGGTGCAGCATCAGCAGCAGCAGCAGCAAAGGCAGCTGGAGCAGGAGCAGCAGCAACGGAATCTGCACCAACAGCAGCAAAGGCCCTCGCAGCAGCAGCAGCAGCAGCAGCAGTGGGAGGGCGTGTTGGGCGGAGGAAATGCAAACGCGGCTATCTTGGCTGGTGTACGTCCATCCAGCACAGCTCACTCCACCGGATTCCACCCATCCACCACCCTAACTAACCCAGCCAACCAATCCAAACCGGTTACCCCGCCTTCCCAAGCTCATCCGGCAATCCACGCACTCCCTTCTGCCCCAGGTATTCCAGGAAGCAACCCCGAAGGTCGGTTCCTGAACACACCACCTGCCGTTCCTCTCCGTGTCTCCCTCCCTGCCTCTGCTGCAATGCCAGTGGTGCGAGTACGCTCCCCACCCGCCTTGCTCCATGACCTGTCCCCCCGACCGAGTTTCGACCGGCCGCTGAGCTCGCATCACCGCGATGTGGCTCCAGGGGGGGCTAAGTTCGAAATGCCCCGAAGTTTAAGCCTGCAGCGTGACTCCTTGCGTCATCATCGTGAGAGCTTGCACCACCACCACCATGACATGCCGCTTCCACGGCCAAGCTTCGATGACCCGCCGCGGAGCATGCGTGATCGTGACGTGGTGGCTCCGCGGGCCAAGTTTGACGTCAAGTTTGACATGCCCCGAAGCTTGAGCACGCAACATGACTTGTCGCCACGGCCGATCGAAGAGACCCCACCGAGCCTGCTGCTTCATCATCATCATCATGACTTGCCGTCGCGGGCTAAGCTTGAGACGCCTCGAAGTTTAAACCCAAGCTTGCAACGAGACGCCTTGCACCGTAATCCCACATCGCCACGACGTAGTGTAGAGACCCCACTGAGCCTGCATCACCATCATGACTTGGCGCAGCGGGTTCAAACTGAGATGTCCCGAAACCTAAGCTTGCATCGGGAGAAGACATTAGGTTGGGGTACTGGTGTTGACGTTCCAGGGAGGGACGTGGGGGGAGTGGTGCAGAGGGGGGTGTTGGATGGGAGGGGTGGGCGAGGGGAGTGGATGGGGGAGGGCGGAAGGGGGAGGGGAGAGGGCAGGGGAGGGGAGATGGGAGGGAGGAGAGTGGAAGTGAGGGGAGAAGGAAGAGGATGGGTGGAAAGAGGAGGAGAATTTGAGGGGAGAGGAAGGGATGTGGTTGGGAGAGGAGGGGAAGGGGGGGAAAGAGGAGGGGACTACAGGGATAGAGGAGGGGAATATGGGGGAAGCGGAGGAGATGTGTATCGTCCACTGGGTAAAGAGGAGCGGGGGATTTTGTCTGCTTGGGGGGAAAGGGATGTGGGATTGAGGGAAAGGCCATTAGCTAGAGAGAATGACAGGAGGGATTGGGAGAGGGAGAGGGAGAGGGAGAGGGAGAGGGGTAGAGATAGGGATGGAAGGAGAGAAATAGAGGGGGATAGGAAAAGGCATAGATCATCGTGGGGTGACAGGGAGTTGGAAAAGGTGGAGAGAGGTGAGGTGCAGGAGCAGTGGGAGCAGCAGCAGCGGCAGAAGGAATTGCAGCTGAGGCAGCAGCTTCAGCTGCAACTGCAGCAGAATCAAGTGAAGAGACCTTCGGCTCCTGATGCTGCTTCTGCTGCTCATGCCGGCGCCAGTGGTGCCGGTGGTGCCGGTGGTGCCAGTCATGCCGGTGGTGCCGGTGGTGCTGATGGTGCTAGTGCTAGTCGTCCTCTGCTTCCTCCACCTGCTGTTCCTCCCGCTCCTGCCCCTGCCCCTGCTCCTGCTGGTCCTTCTCCTGTGCCACCTGCTGTTCCTCCTCCTGCTCCCCCCCCTGCTCCTGCCCCTCCTGCTCCTGCTCCTGCTCCTGCTTCCTCTGCTCCTGCTCCTGCTTCCTCTGCTCCTGCTGATGCTGCTGCTTCCGCGCCCCACAGAAGGCAGGTGATAAGGGCCATGGGAAGGGGTGTAGAAGAATCATTGCAGCAAACCGTGCAAGGCAGAGGAAGAGGCAGAGGCATGGGAGGTGGAGTCGGTCAGTTGCCTCATGGTGAATCAGGGGGGCAAGCAGCGGGGCAAAGAGGGGAAGAAAGGGTGGGGCAAACAGTGGGGCAAAAAGAGGCAAGAGCAGTGGGTCAAGCTGCGGGGGAGACAGGGGAGAGAATGGGGGAGAGAAGAGGGGGGTATGTTGAGGCGAAAGCAGGGGAGGGGATGGTGAGTGGAGCGATCCGTGGCAGAGAGGAGCGATCCGTGGCAACAGGAGCTGCGGCAGGGGGAGCAGCGGCAGGGGGAGCAGCGGCAGTGGGAGCAGCGGCAGGGGGAGCAGCGGCAGTGGGAGGAGAAGGAGCAGCAGCAGCACCAAGCAGGGGGGCTGCAACAGTAGTAAGAGGGGGAGCAGAGGTAGCAGGGATTTCTGCACCTGGGATGGGGTCTGGAAGAGTGAAAGCAGCAGAGGCAGCAGGGGTTCATGCACCTGGGACCCCACCTGCACCTGCAGCAGCAGCAGCAGCAACTGCAGGGGCAGCGGGTCGTGGGATGGAGGGAGGCCGATTTCGGCTGAAACGAGATGGCTACACCAGCACTGCTGCTCCCGCTGCTTCTCCTGCTTCTGCTCCTGCTGCTGCTTCTTCTTCTGCTCCTGCTGCTGCTGCTGCTTCTGCTGCTGCTGGTAGAGGGACAGGAGCAAATCGGAATGGCAGCGTGAAGGTTGCAGGCAGCACTGCCGCTGGAGTGGCGAGCGGGAGAAGCACAATGGGATCCGGTCCGGGTGTCAACGGCACAGGTGCAATCAGTGCTGGTGCGCATGGTGTGGCTAATGCTGCGGCTAATGCTGCTGCTGGTGATGTGGCTGCTGGAGCAGTCAAGAAGGGCAGCAGTGGAGCAGCAGCAGCAGCAGCAGCAGCAGCAGCAGCAGCAGCAGCAGGTTCAGCAGCAGCAGGATCAGCCGCTGCAGGCCCCGAGGGTCCCACTTCTGTGGTGGACCTATCCTCATCACAACTCAAATCCCAGTGAGTGCACAGCATCGCTTACAAATGGTTCGAAATGGTCCGTCTCGTTCCCCCTTCCCCCCCCCCCCCCCCACCTCCCCCCTTCCTTATTATTTCCACTTTTGTCTCACGCACAACCTATCCCCTTTGTTTTTGCACTAGTGCTACGGGTTGGGAGTCGTTCCCTTCACCATTGCGGGGCAAACCATCATCTGGTGCCTCCAGCAATGAATTCCCCTTCGCTACTCTGAGTCGACTCAAAAGTCAACGTGCTACGGGTGGAGAGTCGTTCTCTTCACCATTCCGGGGCAAACTGTCGTCGAGTGCCTTCAGCGAAGAATTTCCCTTCTCTACTCCCCCCTCCTCCTCTCCGTTCCCGTTCCATCGTGTGACTGTGTCTTACACTCAGAATGCTGCAGGTGCGGGGCCTTCCCGCTACCACCTCTGTGCAAAAAATCATCAGTGCCTCGGGCAAAGAAAACCTCGTTCTCACTACCTCTCCTCTCCCTTCTCGCTCCTCCGTGCGCCTGTGTCTTACCCTCAGAGTGCTACGTGTGGGGGGCCTTCCTGCAACCACCCCTGTGCAAACCATCATCACCGCTTTCAGCAAAGTCGGCAGGGTTGGGGTGAGTGAATCCTGTCTTGCCCCACTCTGCCCATGCCCTGGTATGTTGTCCCCGGGCAAATGTTTTTTTCTGGTATTCCCTATCACTCTCGCTTCCTGCGTCTGCCCCCCTGCCTCCCGTTTTCCCCTTCCCCCTCCACCCCCCCCCCCCCCCCCCCCTCCCCCTCCGCCTCCCCCCCTCTCCCCTCTTCCCTGCCCTCTCCTGTTTCACCTCATGTGAACTGCAGAGTTAAATACAATATTAATATGATCAGCACCCTCTCCCCCAACCCCCCCCCCCCCCCCCCCCCCCCCCGCGAATCTTGCCCGTGTGGCAGCATGTGGGTCTTTCAAGTGGAACCTTCCTCCTCACATTTGACTCTGTCCGCACAGCCACTGTTGCCAAGCGCATGATGCATCGGTACGTGATGGGTACAGTGTTTAATTGTACGTATTGTGAGGGGTTGCAAAGGCTGTTACACATGTGACGCGATGCACATGATACTCCCAACAATCCATGCATATGGTTCACTCTCCCACTTCCCTTTGCCCCTCCTGCCCCCACCTCTTTGCCGTCTCCAGGTCCTTGCTAGCAGGGCATCAAATCACGGTGGAATTTTCTCGCCAATAAAACTACTCGACATATGGTTTAGACTTTCTAATTGTGTCAAGAATGTATTAAAGATCCACTAGGTTTCCAACCAGGGATGAAAAATCTTTATGAAGCTTGTGGATGAGCTTGTATTTCTGCACTGTGACGGTGCTGTTTTATCAACATCTCGTTACTTTTGCGAGGTAGGCAATGGTGGTGTCAGCTTGTTGCCATGAGATCGGGTAAAGTGAGTGCGCCCTCGCAGATTGAATCCTACCCAAGTCACGGATCCAAAATTCTGGTATTCTTTACGTACCGCACTGCAACGCCTAAAGCCGTGCGTAGCTAGCTCAAAACCGCACAGCACGAAAAACGAACCGAACCTTACTGGAACTGTCGCTCTGCGATTGTGTGTAGCACAAGAAATTCGAAAGCAGTCTTCCATTCCGTCTTGCACCCATCTACCCACTCTCCATACTTGCTTGCCGTATTTTTCAACAAGCATAACATTTTTTTTTCTCTGGAGGCAGCGCAACCAGTCTCTCTGTCTCTCGCTTTCAAGCTTGTCCTCAGCGGCAGCCATGGCTCGCGCGGCCGTGTTCATCCTCGTTGCTCTGTCGCTTCTCGACGTTGCGTTAGCCGAGGTCGCAGCACAGGACGTGCTCGTTCTCGACGAGAAGAATTTCAAATCTACCGTGAGATCCAGCTTCAACGCAACTTCCTTCCACCTTTCTTCCGGCTTTCCTCAACCCCATAGCTGCGTGAAGGTCCCCCCATTTTTTTCTCCCTCTCTTTGCCTTACCGTTCGGTGGTTCCCAGTTCTCTCTGCGTGCCTTTTCCCTCTTCCGCCCCGACAGGCTCACACGAATTTTATTTTTATGTTCTGCCGCGGTTTCGTATTTGTTGCAGATCGACGATCACTCAAAGGCATACTTTATCAAATTCTTCGCACCGTGGTGTGGTCACTGGTCCGTTCCTCTTCTACTTCCCCCCCGTCCTGTCAACCACGCACCCGCCATTCCCTCCCCTCATGCCACGATATCTTGTCTCTCGATCCGTAATCGAAAACCATATTGTTACGCGTTCCTCGCATTGCGAACTTTCAAACCTCGTCCTCCTTGTTCCCCTTACCCAGCTCGCTCACTTCAAGTTCCTATCCTCTCCCCCCCCCCCCCCAACACACCCCCTCCCCCCTCTCAATCCCTCTCTTCCCCTCCGCCCTTCCGTCCGCCGGTCGCCGATCCGTCCGCCGATCTGCCTCAGCAAGCGCCTGGCGCCGACATGGGCGGAGCTGGCATCGGCGAAGGTGGCGCCGGAGGTGGTGATCGCGCACGTGGACTGCACGGCCTCGCGCAGCGTGTGCGAGGAGCAGGAGGTGAGCTCTTCGTGAGAATTCTCAAAGATCTGTAGCAGGAAGTGAGCCCTCTTTGAGAATTCTGAAACATCCGGAGCAGGAGGTGAGCATACGCGCGTGCACATTGCACTTCTTCGTCCGGATGCTGAGTTCGTGGTCGCTCCAGTTATTGACCAGATAAGGTATAGAGAGAATGGTCCTGGCCTGGCTGCCTTCCCTAACGTTTCCAGTGACTATATTTGGACTGGAAAAGCAATGCTGTGACTTTATTCTCACGGGTACTCCAGGCATGCATATTGCCTGAATGTAGCAATGCACCAATGCTGCAATGCAGCACATGCTGGCCTAGGGTCTTTGGCTTCCAAATGTAAATTTATTTTGTTTTGTGTAATATCTGTTTGTTGGGCTGGGATCCTTCTGGCATGGTATGGCAGATCCGCGGATATCCCACCCTCAAGGTGTTTGTGAAGGGAGAGGGGAAGGAGAAGTACTCTGGTGGCCGGGACCTTCAGTCTCTGAGCACGTATGTGCAGGAGGTTGCTGAGGATTTCAAGGACTCAGTTGCTGCTGCTGATGCAAAGGCAGCAGACACAGAGGCTGCAGCGTAAATGGTTGGTTAGTCACAGTAGCTGGTGAAGTGTTGCTGAATAGTGGAGTCTGTTGGTTCTGCCTTGGTGTTGGCTGCATGTGCCAGACCTGATGTCGGATGTATCGAAAATTCAGACAATACATTTACATTCAGCAACTTGAGGTGGTTCTATGTTTCATATCAGTGGCGTATAAAAACCGTTGAATTGGAAGAGCAGCGTTATTGCTACGGATGTATCTATAAGGGCATTTCATAGCCTTATTTCATTGCCCAAATGCCTTTCCTAGGTTACTTTGTATTATTTAGTTCTCTGATGTAAGGAAAATCCTTTTCCTTACTGAGCTCAACCACAGCGCGTACGCCCTCGGACTTCGGAAGGCTAGGCTCGGCCTAACTTTTCGGTCCCGAACCACTCTAGCGCAACCAAACCTAAATGCGGGGCTGTTCCGTGGCTTTCGTCACCCGAGTCGCCCCAACCTAGTTGCAAGGTTCTCGGCTAGCGTAATTGTGCCTAAAAAGTGCCGTAGCCTTTCATTTGTATTCGGACTCTTGAGTCACGTCCTGTTATTGAATTCCGCGCTACTACTCTGATTCGATACATAACAGCTGGTATCAGAGCTACTTTCCTGCCCGCTTAGTCTTCCGTAGGCGGGCCCGTTTATATCGGGCGAGGACCTGACAGAATAGAAGGTTGGCCTGCGGTCGGTAGGTGAGCTCAATTAAAGCTCCTACGACTAGAAGCGTGTGCACCTTCAGATCTGTTAGGTGAAACAGTTCCAGCATGACGAGTGAGCTGGAATCCTCTGCCCGCCGTAGTGTTAGGAACGTGACACAGGAGGAGTTTGACGAGTTGCAGACGAGGGCGGCCACGGTGACGACGCTACAGTCGCAACTCCAACAACTCATGGCGAAGTTCGAATCGCTCGATGGCGAACTTCAGACGCTGCGCGAGGAAAACTCATCACTTCGCCAGGCGCGTGGAGAGACGCGTCAGAGGCGGCCTGTTACCCGAGACGAGGATGCTGCGAGCGAAGCGAGAACGTCGGCGACACCTGAAGCAACAGAAGAAATCAACAGTGGGCAACGAGCAGTTATTAAAGTTAAACCTGCCACGCCCCCGCCGTTCAATCCGACCGATAAAACCACAACAGTGAGCGGGTGGTTGTTTGCTGTTGAGATCTTCTTTAATGCAGCTAATATTCACGACAATGCAACACGTGTGAATTTTGCTGTATCACTGCTGAGAGGACCGGCACTCGACTGGTGGCGCATGCAACTCGCAGAGGGAGGGGCCTCGGCAGGACATCAACGGGCGGTAGCTGGGGAGCAACAGTCGTCTGAAGCAATGGCGGTCCCAATCTTCGGATCGGCCATGAACCTCACGTGGCGAACGTGGGGCGAAGCCTTGAAAAAGCGGTTTGAGCACATATCCGCGCGCAAACACGCTCGTGCGAGGCTTCGGGAATGGCGTCAGTTGGGAGCTGTTCAAGAATACACCGCGTCGTTCCTAGCACTCTGCGACCAGATTGACGGCATGAACGAAGACGAGAAGATGGACCGCTACGTGACGGGATTGAAACCGGAAATACAGCTGGAAGTTGAAGTGCGACGCCCAACGATTTTTTCGGAGCTCGTCGAGTTGGCAGATGCGCTGGACGCGCGGCGGGCATTCGCGAGGACGAGTTTCCGGGAGGGAAATCGTTTTCGAGGCCAGCACCAACACCCTTCCATCAACGGCGTGGACGCGATGGCAGCCCGGGTGTTTACCGGTCGCTGTTTCAACTGCAACCAGCCGGGCCACATGGTGCGGGACTGCCCGGCGCTTAAGAAGGACTTAGCTAACGACGGGAAGCAGTCGGGAAATGGAAAAAGTCAGTAGCTGATGGACCACCTGCTGACTTGACTGCGTCGCCCAAACACCACCACCCCCACCAGGTAGTAGTGCCGATTTATGCAGTCGACCACTCCTGGCTGAATAAGGGGGGTGAACCTGTTGATCACCCTGTGCTGGTAGAAGGAAGAGTTGGGGATAATAAAATAAAAATATTTGTTGATGGTGGAGCGAGCCACAGTTTGATGGATGTGACAAAAGCGAAGAAGCTGCGATTACAATTGGAGCGGTGCATGCCGGAGATCGACGCGCGATTGGTCGACGGTACACCACTGGCGATTCGAGAACGGGTGCCACACATTCGAGTCACATGCGGCGAACGTTTCAGTTTCACGACGAAGATGCTGGCGACGACTCTGGATGGCTGCGACATGCTGCTGGGGCGCGATTGGCTGCGAGAGTACAACCCGAGCATCGATTGGCGAACGGGCGACTGTCGCATCAAGTGGGGAGGCGAGTGGCGACGACTACCCCGGTGGAGTGGACCTGAAGCGACTACATCGACGGTCAGCGCCGTGACGATCAAGCGCGCCATGATTCGGGGCGCACAACTCTACGCCGTCCGATGGATCGCATCAACGACCGTCGACGATACCCCCGACATCGAAAAGTTGTGCGCTGGCGTACCCGACGACCTGGCGAAACTCATTCGGAAGTACCCAACCATTTTTCCAGATGACCTGCCCGCCGGTCTACCACCTCAACGCCCCCAGGACCACAAGATCCAACTCGAACCCGGCGCGCAGCCAACCGTGCGGACACAGTGGCGGCTGACGCAACCTGAGCTGGAGGAACTACGTCGACAACTTGACTACCTGTTGGAGAAAGGCTTCGTCCGGCCCAGCACGTCTCCGTTCGCCGCCCCAATCCTGTTCACACCGAAGAAGGATGGGGGCCTTCGCATGTGTATCGACTACAGGGCGCTGAATCGAGTTACAATTAAATCCCGATACCCGATACCACGCGCCGACGAACTCATCGACCAGCTTCGCGGAGCAAAATTCTTCTCGAAAATCGACTTGCGAGGGGGTTACCACCAAATTCGCGTCGACGAGGCAGATTGCTACAAGACCGCGTTTCGTACCCGGTACGGGAGTTACGAGTACACAGTCATGCCATTCGGTTTGACAAACGCGCCCTCAACCTTCCAGCTGACCATGCACGAGATTTTTCGGCCGCTGTTGGACAAGTGCGTCATAGTGTACTTAGACGATATCCTCGTCTATTCCACCACCCGGGAGCAGCACTTAACGGACCTCGACCAAGTCTTCACGCTACTGCAACAAAATCGCCTCATCACCAAGGGATCTAAGTGCGAGTTTTTAAAACCCGAACTGGAGTTCCTCGGCCACATCATCTCCGTCGAAGGCGTTAAAATCGACCCCAAGAAGATCAGCACCATTCAAGAATGGAAGCCGCCGTCTAATTTACGGGAACTCCAAAGTTTTTTGGGGTTCGTAAATTACGTCCGCCGGTTCATCCCGAACATGGCGGGGGTGACTTCCCCGCTCACGGACCTGCTGAAGAACGGCGCGTTTTTTGAATGGGGGGGAGAACAGCAGGCTGCGTTCGACGCACTCAAACTTTTTCTGACGACCCCGCCGGTTCTTCGGATAGCTGATCCTCACCGTCCGTTCGAGCTCGTCACCGACGCTAGTGACATCGCTGTCGGCGCGGTGCTGTTACAAGACTTCGACGACGAACTCCAGCCCATCGCCTACGAATCCCGCAAGCTGAACCCGGCCGAGCGAAATTATCCGGTTCATGACAAGGAGTTACTGGCGATCGTCCACGCGTTCAAAACCTGGCGCTGCTATCTAACCGGGGCCGACGTAACAGTACGGACAGACCACAAGTCACTACAGTTCATTCGCGCACAACCGACACTGAACCCACGATAGACCCGTTGGCTCGACTACCTCGAGTCCAATTTTCACTACAGGGTCACCTACAAACGGGGGGCAAATAACATCGCCGACGCCCTGACCCGTCCATCTGCCCATACCGCCGCTGTACTGATTACCCAGACCAACCCACTCTTAACCGGCCTATTCACCCACGGCTACCACACTGATCCGTTCTTCACCACCAGCACCAACAGCCCACTCGTCACTAAGCAAGGGCTCTATTATCTAAAATCCGGTACCAATCGGATTTGGGTCCCTGCTTATCGACTACTACGGGAGCTACTGATACAGGAAGCCCACGACTCAAACCTCTCGGGTCACTACGGGGTCGACAAAACTGCAAAAACTCTGGGTCGTCATTATTACTGGCCGGAGTTAACCCACGACGTGCAGCGGTATGTCACCTCGTGCGCCACGTGTCAGCTGATGAAGTCCTCCCGCCTGCGGCCAGCTGGATTGCTGCAACCGCTCGCGCCACCTACCAGACCCTGGCAACAAGTGACGATGGATTTCGTCACAGGATTACCGGCCGGCCCCAGTGGTAACGACGCGATTCTCGTCGTCGTCGATCGCCTGACCAAGATGGCTCACTTCGCCGCATGCAAGACGACGATCACGGCCGAAGAAACTGCCAAATTATTCCTGGCGACTGTCGTCCGCCTCCACGGCATCCCATCGGCGATCATCAGCGACCGAGACCCGCGCTTCACGTCCAACTTCTGGACGAAAACGTGGGACCAGTACGGCACGCGCCTGCACCTATCGACGGCCTACCATCCTCAATCGGACGGCCAGACCGAGCGGACAAATCAGACAATGGAGCAGCTGATACGCACCACGTGCACCGACCCGACACAGTGGGAAGAATCTCTTCCCTTGATTGAGTTCGCGTATAATAATGCTCCTTCGGCGACGACCAACCAGTCACCATTCTTCCTGAATTACGGGCTAGACCCTGTGACCCCGCTGTCGCCACCGATCGAAAATCCGGCGCCAAGGTCGCAGCGTTTCGTCGAGACTTTACGTAAGCATCAGCAAAACGCCGCCGAAGCCATCAACAAAGCCAACCAGATCGCTAAGCGGAATGCTGACCGAAGACGACGGGATCTTCCCCTCGCACCAGGGCAATTAGTCCTGCTCGACACCAGAAATTTGGGGGTGCCCCTCCCAAATAAACTACGCCCAAGATTTTGCGGACCCTTTCGCATTATCCGCATGGTGACACCTGTCACCGCCCATCTACTACTCCCTGACGACTGGCGAATACACGACTCCTTCCACGTCAGTCTCCTGCGACCGTTCGTCTCCAACACGAGTGATCTCGACCGTCAGCGCCTATATCCGACGGTTCGCCCAGTTCCCGAACCCACGACCGAACTGGATAAAATTCTGGCTCACAGGGTCTGGGGACAACGAGCTTCAGCAGCCGTCGATTTCCTGGTCCGATGGGTCGATCGTACGAGCGAAGACGACCTCTGGATCTCGGCCGACACTCTCGGTTCACACCCTGCAGTTCGGGACTATTTACGCCGACGACATGTCCCAGATGTGGGTAGTCTCATCTCAGGAGGGGGGGTGGTGTAAGGAAAATCCTTTTCCTTACTGAGCTCAACCACAGCGCGTACGCCCTCGGACTTCGGAAGGCTAGGCTCGGCCTAACTTTTCGGTCCCGAACCACTCTAGCGCAACCAAACCTAAATGCGGGGCTGTTCCGTGGCTTTCGTCACCCGAGTCGCCCCAACCTAGTTGCAAGGTTCTCGGCTAGCGTAATTGTGCCTATAAAGTGCCGTAGCCTTTCATTTGTATTCGGACTCTTGAGTCACGTCCTGTTATTGAATTCCGCGCTACTACTCTGATTCGATACATAACATCTGAGCATAACCTCCAGCCACATTTTCGCATCTGTCACGGAGGTTTCGAAAAGCTTCTTGACGGAAGTATGATTTCCGGGTTTTCCGCCAATCGCAACCTCCTCGATGTAATTTGTCCGGCGCAGCACCCCCTTTGTGAAAACATATTGTGCTTGCCCGAAAAAACCTAGAGTAATCGTTTGAAGAAATGTCCTGCTCGTTATGGTTTCTGCAAAAGAACCACATCGTGAAGTACTCCACACACAAGAACAAAGAGGAAATATTTCTTTGCCCTGACCGCAGCTTCTTTGTCCGACCTCCAAAGCCATGCCATGCCTCTGCTCCGCTGCCCTACTGTTTTCCGCTCATCAATCATAGGGGTCCTGATGTGAGCGAGCAAGCCCACTTTTCCCCCGCCTGCACCCCGCCTCCCGCCCGCCGCTAAGCTCCCGCTAGCCTACTTTTGCCCGTAGGGAGGCAACCTCCCCAGCTTGTTTTCTTCCCGCCCGCCTCCCTTCCCCTCCCTTCCATCTCTCGACTCTCGAGTACCACCTCCGCCTCAGCTTTCCCCTCCCTTCCATCTTCTCCCATTTCCCCAGCTCTCTCATATATTCTGGAAACCCTTCAAACCACACACAACCAGATCAAGACATATTTACAGACCCGAATACCACGCTAAAACATTATATGGCAGACCCCTATTGTCTTCCGCCGCTGCGCTGCTTCCAACCCCCACATCCTTTCTTGATGATGCTCCCAAAGGCTTGCAGCAGCAGCCACACACACACAGAACAGAGCCCTGCAATGATGGGATAATTTGGTGTTTTTTGCAAATTCGTGTGGTGCTGCTTCTCTTTAGCGCCATGAAGTGCTGCAGTGCAGGATACGTATGAGGAGGATCACCTGAGGAGCCATTTGTTTTCTCGCTGTCTGTGAGCATCGCAGATGTTCACTAACTCACGGGAGCCGCAGGTTCTTGGTGATTTTTTTTCGTTAGGTTCTTGGCTTCGACGCCAGAAGCTACTAGGAACGTCTGACAATTGTTCTTACACGTCAAGAATCGCGAATCGTTTGCATGGATGCGTGAACCGGCTCGCGAGTTTACCGCGTGTCGACAATCGTGGAGTTTAACAGTTCTTCCGACAGTTTACCTGCTGGATGATTCTGGATGATAGTATCCGCCAGATGAAACTTGTTTCGCCCTTCCTTTGAGGCGCCTAAAAAACCATCTCAGCAGGTTACCTGCTGGATTACCCTGGATGAGAATATCTGCCAGGCACCTCGCGATGCTCCCGCCAATTTCGTCGCCTGACTTACCTCACAACCTGTTTCTCCTCTATGTCAAGAACTGATTCCGCTGATAAGTCAAAGGAAGAAGGCGATTATCTGCGGTCCGTTCCGTTCTCATAGGAACTGAACGTTCGAGACTGTCTAACCGTACGACTGACCTTAAGCGACTTACCGTACGCGACTGGCCGTACGACTGACCGTAAGCGACTGACCGTACGCAACTCTCCGGACGCGAGGACGGTACCACGACTCTCCCCGCAACATTCCTTTCTTCGCCTCCTCGCGCAACTCCTTTCTTTTGGAGAAAAAGGACAGGAAACAAGACCGGGGTGCTGACTTTCCCGTTGCAGCAACCGCTAAGGATCTAGAGGGATCGTGCGGCAGCAGCAGCAGCAACAGCGGCAGCAGCAGCAGCAGCGGCAACAGCGGCACCGGCACCGGCAGCGGAAATTGATCCATGGCGGGAGGCAGTGCGGCGACGGCGACTACCTCCGCAGGTCTTGATCGCGCTCGCGGTGCGCAGTGGGGCGCGTCGAGACCGGCCGCTTCTCGACCAACCGTAGCCTCTGATTCCGCCGCGATTTGCGCGTCTGGCGGCGACGACGGGCACGGGCATGGGCGCGGGGATAACGTGGGCGCAGTTCGGCGGGAAGAGGGGCGCGAGGGGGGGAAGGGCAAGGCGCAGTGGCGCGTGGAAGCGCCGCAAAAAGGGCGGGAGGGGCCGGAGGAGCAGCAGGCGGAGGAGGACGAGGATATGGGGGGAGCGCACGGGGGCGCGGAGGACGGCGGGGATGGCGGAGATGCGGGGGACGGGGCGGACGGCGGGGAGTTGCGCAAGGGGCAGTGGACGGCGGAGGAGGACGAGCTATTGCTGAAGTGTATTCAGCAATACGGAGACGGCAACTGGAGTTCCATCCCTAAGCGCGCAGGTCAGGCGGGATTGCGAATCACGCGCCCCTTTTTCAGTCCGTCTCAGTGATAGAATTTCGCGCCTTTTTTCCGTCGTTTCCCTTTTCTTTCTACTTCTCTTTCCTCATTTTCTTTTTCTTTTTTGAGAATGCTTATCCGCCCTCCACGAGAGAAGTGCTCTCCACCCACTTCTCTCACGCACTCCCTCTCTCACGCACTCCCTCTCTCACGCACTCCCTCTCTCATGCGCTCCATCCCCTTCTCCCGTCCATGCCTGCGGCGGTGCCGCATGAGCTTCGGCTGCGATGGGCGAACTACCTGCGCCAGACCTTCCGCCCACATCCCTTCTCGTCCTCCCACACAGACCCCCTTTTCCCCCCTCCCCCCTCTTCCCCGCCGCCCCTTCCCCCCGTGCAGGCTTGCGGCGCTGCGGCAAGAGCTGTCGGCTGCGATGGGCGTACTACATGCGCGCGGATCGTTCCTCCGCATCCTATCCACAGTCTTACCCCCCACCCCCCACCTTCCCCCCCACCTTCCCCCCCTTCCCCCTCTCCGCGTGCAGGCCTGCGGCGCTGCGGCAAGAGCTGCCGGCTGCGATGGGCGAACTACCTGCGCCCGGACCTTGTCCTTTCTAATGTTCCCTCACAAACCTAGCCCCCCTCTTCCCCGCCGCCCCTTCTCCCCACGCAGGCCTGCGGCGGTGCGGCAAGAGCTGTCGGCTGCGGTGGGCGAACTACCTGCGCCCGGATCTGAAGCGGGGGGCGTTCTCGGACGACGAGGAGGACCTGATCATCCGCCTGCACGCCGCGTGGGGGAACAGGTGCGGTGGGTGGTGATGGAAGGGGTGGGGGAAGGGGGCGGGGGGGTGGGGGAGAAGCGAAGAAGGGTTGGTGAGGACCTTACTATCCGCATGCACGCCGCGTGGGGGAATATGTGGGCGGGTGGTGGTGGGGGAAGGGGGGGGGGATGGGGGGGGGGATGGGGAAAGGGGGGAGGATTGAGATGGGTTGGTGAGCGAGGGGCGATCCCGGTTGACGACGACGACGAGGAGAACCTCTTTTGCAAATACTCCTCTGCTTTTACGAAATCTCCCCCCTTCTCCCCCTCCGCCCTCCGCCCTCTCGCTCCCCCTCTTGCTCTCTGTCGAACCCGCCTCCCCCTGTCCCCGCGCCACACGCCCCACCGCCCCTGCACGTGCGATTGAAGAAGTGTTTTGAGACGTCTCAAAACACTTCTTCATTCAACCACCACCCCTGCACGTGCGCGTCCCGCTGTTTCCTTGGTGGTCCGCTGTTTCCTTGGTGGTCCGCTGTGCAGGTGGGCGAAGATTGCCCTGGAGCTACCAGGGCGCACGGACGGACAACGACATTAAGAACCACTGAACCCTCGTGTCCACCCTTTCGTTCCCTCCCTTGCTGGTGCACACTGTGCGGTGCAGATGGGCCAAGATCGCGCTGGAGCTACCAGGGCGCACGGACAACGGCATCAAGAACCACTTGACCTTCATGTCCACCCTTTCGTTCCCTCCCTTGCTGCTGGACACTGTGCGGTGCAGATGGGCCAAGATCGCGCTGGAGTTGCCAGGGC